AACACGGCCCCGACCACGGTGTCGCCCGGCGAACCACGCACCTTTAATGGGCCCGCATCTTGGCCCAACTGTCCGTTCTTGCTTTTTTTTCCCCCCCCCCCCCCCCCCCAAGCGCGTATCAGAGAGCATTTACTCTGCTTTCGTAACTTGTTTCGCTGGGTCAGACCATAAAGGAGCGATACAGCAGCATTTTCTCAACTAGCGACCTCACAGCCGAAGCAGCGGCTTGGGCTATGTCTGTCGAGCTCTATGACCTCGCTCTCGAATGGTTAGAACAAGGACAATCCGTAGTTTGGAGTCGGGCGCTCCAGCTGAATCGGACGCCGCTCGACGAGCTTGCTAAATTCAATGCAGATCTAGCAAATCGTTTCGGAAAAAATGCCTCCCAGCTTGATGCTGCTAGCTCCGGTTCTCAGATATAAAACGTCTCTGAAGAACCCCAGGGAACCCTGGAGCTCCAGGCACAACGGCATCGCCGTTTGGCAGAGCGGTGGGACAAACTTCTTGCCGAGGCTCGCTAGTGATGCGCGAGGTCAAGAGCGTCGCGATCACGCGACTGCGATGAACAAGAGACGATGGTCGGGGGGAGGAATCCACCAGAACCGGATGCATATGCTTCCTCGGATGTCGGCGGATCTAAAGAAAGTTACCATGGACGGTCCAGTTGTGGTTATCAACACGCATCGTTCTGGCTGTGATGCGCTCGTCATCTTCCCGGAGTGTGATGATGTAGCGCATTTATCCATTGAGAACCTTGCCAGCCAGCACATAGATGTAATGGGATTACAAGTGAGCTCCTGGGTAGGACACCGAGGTGGTGCTCGGGGTGTCAAGTATTTCCCCCCACCAGTAGAATCTGAAGACCATCTCCAACCGCTGAAGGACCCTTGGCTGGGTGTAGTAAATCCAGTACTAGATGCACTTGCATGCACGTTAGGCATAGTTTTTACGATCGCTTGGCCATGTTTGACCCTTCGACTATGGTTCAGCGTAAACTGCCATACAACGAGCTACCCCACGTGACTTGGTGTGCCACTGGCGCAATGTCGTTCCTACCTCTTCATGCGGCTGGTTTGCACGACGGCCAGTCGCCACTCATACAGCACATTCGATCTCATTGTCCTACCTTACACACCCACATTAAGTGCTCTGCTTCCTCGGAGGGATGAAACAGTCACACGGACTGATGGAATCCTGGCTGTCGGCCAAGCAAATACACCCGGTCAACCCCCTTTGCCAATGACCGCGGAAGGGCTCGCTATCGTCAAGAAACATGCCGTGGTCACTTTATTACAGCAGCTTGATAGGTTATCAGCCACAGTCAACGCCACACTCGGTGCGATGGAGCAGCATAGCTGGATGCATCTTGCATGTCACGGAGCTCAAAACCGCGACGACCCCAGCCAAAGCGCCTGTTATCTTCACGATGGCTGTCTCCGCTCGAAAAGATCGCCAAGAAAACATTCAAGCACAAGGGTCTGGCTTTTCTCTCGACGTGTCAAACTGCGACTGGGGACAACAAACTGCCAAATGAAGCGACTCACTTGGCGGCCGGGATGCTCACGGCTGGATATCTAAGCATGATAACCACAATGTGGTCGATCGTGGACGAAGATGCGCCGTTGGTCACGGAGGAGGTTTATGCCGAGCTAATGAAGGATGGGGCGATGGATCACAGGAGGGCGGTCTTTGCACTCCACAAAGCACTGGCGAAGTTACGAGAGAAAGTCGGGGTGGAGGCGATTGGCCGGCGGGCGCCGTTTATTTATGTTGGCGTGTAAACGCGGCGTGGAACGAGATCAAGTTATTCCGAACGTGCGACTTTGTTTCTTGAATTGGCATATTTATTCATATCACATGAGAGCTCGCAAACATGACTTAATGTACGGTAGTATACTTCCGATAGATGATATGTATGCGCATTCATCGACTAGAGCTACGAAGCATGAAATCACGCTGGTGAATTTCGTTCGTGTCTTGTAAGATTTCAAGCCTCGTTCCAGCTCGTTATTATACCCTTATTCACACGCGCGTCGCTTGCTACTTCAGGCTTTATAACCAGGTGTAATTAGAAATGGTTGCATCCACCTTCTGTTCTTGGATCTGCTCAAACGCTCTTCTCAGACATAATATCCCAGGCGTTGCTTCATAGCAAGGGGAAAGATTTGTTCGATGTACATTGATCTTTGCGCATATACTCCGATACTAGAGGCAGTTGCACTGGTCTGGGATGGGGTATTCGAAATAAACTTACGCCACTCAAGCGCCGTGGCTGTCAGGCCACCATTATGTTGACTGATCCGAATAAAATAACGATTCTGCTCTCCAAAGCGCCTGGGACTACAAAACACAGAAAGTTCTCGTAGTTTACAAGGCCAGAGGCCTCCATTATGGCAACAAAGGTCAAGCGCGTTTCGCCTGAGTGGGCGTGTGTATATGAACAACACAGATACGAGGACGAGTAATGCCAAGACCGCTTAGCTCAGTGGTAGAGCGTGTGATTCCAGCTTACGTAAATCGCTTACGTAACGGAGTCCACAAGGTCGTCCGTTCAATCCGGGCAGTGGTCACACTTTTTATATGCTTGCACTTGACCAGAAACTTTACCACCGTAGTTCAAGGAGCTTCAAACCGGTCGGAGAAAACCTGTTTTTGATAAATATTGAGTCATAGCACCATATAGACCGAGCATATAGCTACCCAAGATACACCGTTAGATACCTCTGGATTAGGGCTATCGAACCGTGTCAAGATCGTACTGTTTGACCCAGAACTCACGGAGATGTGCTTGAAACAGGGTAAGGGGTCCTTTGGCCAGCTTCGTGGCCTGGGGGTAGGTCCATACACCTGGACAGTGCACAGACTAAGTGCTATACGTTGTATTGACCCGTAGGCTCTATATTTTAGTCCTTACTAACTAAGCTCTAGCTTAGCTAGAGTTAATGTACCTAGGGGTACATGTTTCCCCTACCCCCAGGTCATAAAGCTGGCCAAAGGACCCCTTACCCTGTTTCAAGCACATTTCCGTGAGTTCTGGGTCAAACAGTACGATCTTGACACGGTTCGATAGCCCTAATCCAGAGGTATCTAACGGTGTATCTTGGGTAGCTATATATCTGGTCTACGTGGTGCTATGACTCAATCTTTATTACATAAAAGCAGGTTTTCTTCGATTGGTCACATGAGCTACTGTATAAGGATAAGTGAGATTCATTTACAAAAATCTCGTTTCCTCTCATGGATGCTTATGAGTGCTCATGAGCACTCATCGAGTTCATTGAGTACATGAGCCATATTTCCTATAAGGAGTACTCAGTAAGCTGGCTATTTAGTGTGTACTTCCGGACTTCAGACTAAGCATACAATGTCGCAGCTGAACCACTGGTTATAGGCATAAATACAGCCTCGGTAAAGCTTCAGACGATTTTTTGTACGTTGTCAATAGTGTATGAGAGCGCATATAGTTAGCATATAGTCAGTAAAAATTCAATTCAAGCTATTTCACCAAACATAATAGTAGAAATTATTAAAACAGGAAAAGAATGAAAATGTGAAAAAGATGCATCCAGAATATTTCCTCATGGGAGTTCTTAATTTATAGTTCCAGAGCTCAGTAAGAGCACCTTGAAAATATTTGTATATTCACTCGTACTTCCCCACATACACACGGCAGGGGGGGAGGGGTGTCCGGTCCCACCTGTGATACTAATAATTATTCTACTTTATTAGGCTCCCCGAGTCAGCTAGCTCAACCAGTTCGTGAGCGTTGGTTAGCATGGGCCAGTTTTGTTGATGATGCTCACAACTCTGGTGGCGAGTTGATCAAACCGTTTCAGTCGCGACGAAAGAAGAAATCAGTTGGGAAAATCCGGCAGACGGTATCCTATCGCAAATTCTCTATTTCAGTCGAGTACTTTGGCTGTAGGTTCACATTCAATACAGTCACTACATGCTACCCTATGGGTTAGCCTTCTTCCATGCTTTCCACTCTTCGTGCAACTTTTCTTGGATCTTCCAGTCTTTCGAAAGGTTCTTCGTTTTGCTTTTCGTAATGTCCTCTCCCTTTGCGTCCGTCACGGGTATACCCTTATCGTCCCACGAGCCATATGTTCCCTCGGGCACGTTGGGAGGGCGGAACATCTCCGAGGGTGGGATCTTGCCTTTCTCAAGCTTGGCGAGCCGCTTGGCCTCAGCTGCATCCGCCTGCGCCGATTTCTTTGCTGACTTTTCAGCCAGAGCGGCGAGCTTCTCGTCTCGGGCTTTAATAAGTGTATCTGGCGAAACTAGTTTGACGAGTGCTTTTCCATCTAAGACACGCATAGGGCTCAATGGAGCCTCCGTAAAAAGATCACGAGAAACTCACCATCCTGATCGTCCAGAGCAACACCCAATGGAATCAAATCGACATCCCGAAGTCTGTCGCACAACGCTAAAATATCTTTTGCCGAAGCTCCAGACATTGCAAGCTGCCTAACCGAGTCCCTGAACCCAGACAAGGTACGCAGGTACGGCAAGAGCAGTGCTTCCCGCTATGTGCGCGTCTTAGTACATACACTGAAAGACCTCACTCGTCCACTCACGTCAACAGTCCCACCGGCCTCGGCCTCATCTCCACCCCACCCAATTGTCCCGGTCAAATTATCACTGAGCCCAAACACCCTGAGTGCGGTAGTGACCCATCGTGCGATGTGCGCCACTACGCCAACGTTGACCCGAGATCGACCGCGTGCGACGTAGATATTGGCGCGAGAGACAAGATCTAAAACTTTCTGCATTGCCTCGGGTGTATTGAAAGAGTCGGAGAGAGCAACGCGATAAGCATGCTGGGTTTGAGATAGGCTATAGGACGCATATAGTCAGAACAGCAGTAGATTGGTTGTGAGTTTTGGAGTGGAGATACATACAAAGCGGTTAGTTCAGCCTCAGCTTCTTCATAGTTGTGTTTAGGTTCCTCAACAGGAAGTTTATCTACCGCAGCTTCTTCGTCTCGAATAAGGGCTTTAGCGAGCGCAAAGAAATTCTTCAGCAGGACCGTGAGCGTCTATTATAGTCTTCTGCATCCATCAACTTACATCGAATACCGTTTCCTGAGACCTGACCTCCACCATAAGGCTCTCCTTGAAATCCATCTTCGCGTTCCATGTCTGAGCAAGGAAGGCTAGACGAATCTGGCGAGGCGTGTATACGTTGAGAGCTTCCTAGAATTCATCTCGTGTTCAGCACTGGTACGGGATTGCATGCCGTGAGTCAAGTCACGCACCTCGACGGTAATGAAATTCTTTAAAGACTTGCTCATTTTTTGGCCCTCGATGTGCAAGTGTCCCGTATGCAAAAAGTAGTTGACCCATTGACGGCAATCGTGGTACGCCTACATTTTCGATCAGCCACTCATATTCAAGCAGACAAAGCTTGGTTCAACATACCTCACTCTGCGCAATCTCATTGTCGTGATGAGGGAAAGCCAAGTCGATCCCTCCAGAGTGTATATCCATTCCATCTCCAAGAACCGCACTCGCCATTACAGAGCATTCAATATGCCACCCAGGTCTCCCAGGTCCCCACACGCTTGGCCATTCAGGCTCGCCAGGTTTCGATCGTTTCCAAAGAGCAAAGTCAGCAGGCGAGCGCTTCGTATCTCCGGTGCTAAGCGCCCCTTCGCCTTCTTCAAGTAAAGCTGTATTGTTTTTTGAGTGGGGTTGAAGCTTGGCATATACATGCTCCCAGTCTGCGTCTTTGCTCCGAACACCATCATAGGCGCGGACATCGAAGTACACGCTTCCGCCTGCTTCGTATGCCCATCCGCGTTCAACAATCTTTTCGACAAAGGATACGATTTCGGGGACATATTCGGTTACACGAGTGAGAGTGTCTGGTCTACGAACGCCTAGGCGGTCCATATCGCGCATAAAGGCACGTTCCCAGTATGAAGAGAGCGCCCGAGTAAGGTGAGAGGGGATAGGTGTTGGATTGGGTTGTGACAGATGTTGTGCGTCGAGGTAGGGCGCAAGAATGGGTGCGCTGGTTGTGATTAGAGGTTTGGAAGGGGAGGGGCCAGCTTGGTTGGACCGAGCAGAAGAAAGCGCGAGGTGAGTGTCTCGCTAATATAGAGTCAATTTTACGTATTCGATTTGGGAACATGCACGTACTAATGCTTTGAGATGCATAGCAAACTTTTCGTCACGAGCATTTCCAGCTTGAACCCAGGCATTATCTTTGGCGAGTTCCTCGATTCTCTGCCAGGAAGCAAGTTCTTGGCCTTGAACAATAACGCTCTTGTCCTCTAGTCCCTTGGTAAGCTGTTTGTGCAGGTACGCCAACCAAGCGTTCTCGATCAAGATAATGAGCTCAGGCGTCACAGTTGGGGTATTGTTTGAGAGTGTGTCCAGGTGGTATTGGTGTCGTGCTCGAATAATAATCTATCACACGGTAAGTGGTTTGATAGCGTCCACGCTCTGTGCTTACCTTGTCGTCTATGTCTGTGATGTTCATAACAAAGTGAACATCGTACCCAAAGTAATCAGTCAAAATCCTTCGTATAATGTCCTGCGTGAGGTAATTCCTACAATCAGGATGGACCGGGTTATATTTTGCACCGAAAGGCAGCGATACAATGGCTTGACTTACCGTGCATGTCCCATATGACTCGAGTCGTAAACAGTCGGACCGCAGTTGTACCAAGTTACATTCCGACCTTTCTTGGGGATGAACTCGGTCTATGAGATAGAAAGATGGCCAATATTGGAGTCATTTTGAAGCCTAGACTTAGGAGAGGTTTTGTAACATACCTTTGACTTGGTTAGCGAATTATATACTCTCAGTACGGGTTCATCGCTATGCAGGGGCTGTACCCATTCTGGGCGAGACTTGTCCGCCATCTTCAATAAAACCCCACAGTAGAAATTACGGGCAAGAGGGAGCCTCGGATAGTTGAGCTGTCTAGGTGAGACCGGTCTCCTTTTAAATAAACCGAGCGCTGATAGCATACGGTTGACTCGGAGAACCTAATCATCATGAGCTGGCCCTCCGATCACGCGATCAATGCAAATTGCGTCTCGACCTCGTCCACAATGGTACGCGTGCAACATTTATTTATAATAGCTGTACTGACAAACTAATCCAGACCTTTTGTCTAGTTGATTTTCTCAGTATTCAAGACGCTGACTGACCAGGAGGTCACTGTGGAGCTAAAAAATGACCTTTCAATCACCGGGGTTCTCAAATCGGTTGACCAGTGAGTTTTTAATCACCGTAGTGATACGGCTTTGACTCAATTATCCCAGGTTCTTGAATATCAGGCTTGACGCAATCAAGGTACACGACGAGGCGCGGCATCCTCATATGGTATGCCCACCGCACGCGTTTCGGCGATATCTCTTACTGACTCTGCTGTAGATGGCAGTGAAGAACTGCTTTATTCGAGGCTCAGTCGTCCGATACGTGCAACTCCCTGCTAGCGGTGTTGATACACAGCTTTTGGAGGACGCGACGCGCAAGGAAGCTGCCAACCAGGCGAAGCGCTAGTCGCAAGACTCCAATTATTGTAGAACGTAGCGAGTTGTTTTTTATTAGC